CAGGGCAGGGACCAGGTCAAAGCCATGATCAGATCCCCAAGGTAGTTTGGATGTCGCAGCATGCCCCACCAACCTGATACCAAAAGCTGCCTCCCAGTTGCCGTGGGGATTGTCTCCAACGCTGAAAGAGAGTTTGGGGTAAAGTTGGAGGGTGGGGGGAATAAAACGAAAGTTTAAACTCACCGAGCGGCAGAAGCGCTTCACGACCCAACACCCCAGCCCCAAACACTCTCCTCGTCACCAAAAGCAAACCCTTCTTTTTTCCCCCACAAGTTCCCGCCCTCCTTTTCAAAACCCTCTCTTTCGTCCTAAGGTTCTTAGAGTCGGTTTGTAGCTCGGGTTGTGGGTGCCATGGTTGGTTGGCTCGCCGAGCTGGTTTGTTAGTTTGCAGATGTTTTGTGGGTAACATAGTCAGTGCGGCCTGAGATGAAACACCGTTGTATTTCCCCACCTGGTATATGTAGAAATCTACTCAAGAACTTTAGAGACCTATGGGTGCAGTAGGCACAAACTGGGCACGCAAAGGGGAAACCTACGCCAAACGAACAGAGCGCTACCCGCGAGCAACTCTACTTCCTACCCCCAGAGTTTAAAAACCAGGCAGGAAAACACAACGGCGCTTCATCGGAGGCTGCACTGATGATGTTACCCAGCACGGTAGTGAAACGTCTGCAAACTAACAAACCAGCTCAGCGAGCCAACCACAGCATCTCTTTTATCCCCCTTGCCTCCTACAACCACCCAAGGTAGCTACACGAATTCTGGTCTCTGGCATCATAGGGTCATACAGCACAGAAACAGACCCTTCGGTCCAACCAGTCCATGCTGACCATAATCCCCAAACTAAACTAGTCCCACCTGCCTGCTCCTGGCCCATATCCCTCCAAACCTTTCTTATTCATGTACTTATCCAAATGTCTTTTAAACGTTGTAACTGTACCCACATCCACCACTTCCTCTGGAAGCTCATTCCACACACGAACCACTTTCTGTGTAAATAAGTTGACCCTCCATGTCCTCTGTAAATCTCTCTTCTCTCACCTTAAAAAAACCATGCCTCCTAGTCTTGAAATCCCCCTACGGAAAAGACAGCTAGCATTAAACCTATCTATACCCCTCATGATTTTATAAACCTCTATCAGGTCACCTCTCAACCTGCTATGCTCTAGTGGACAAAATCCCAGTCTATCCATCCTTTTCTTTAGAACTCAAACCTTCCATACCCAGCAACATCCAGGTAAATCTCTTCTGAACCCTCTCCAGCTTCATTATGTCCTTCTTGTAGCTGCCAGAGGAAGTGGTGGAGGCTGGTACAATGACAGCATTTAAAAGGCATCTGGATGGGTACATGAATAGGAAGGGTTTAGAGGGATATGGGCCAAATGCTGGCAAATGGGACTGGATTCATTGATATCTGGTCAGCATGGACCAAAGGGTCTGTTTCTGCGCTGCCACTGAATGTAAACAGTTCCTGTGAAACAGACCCTTCAGTCCAACACTGCCGACCCGATATCCTAAATTAATCCAGTCCCATTTGCCTACATTTGGCCCATATCCCTCTAAACCCTTCCTATTCACATACCCATCCAGACGTCTTTAAAATGTTGTAATTGTACCAGCCTCCACCACTTCCTCTGGCAGCTCATTCCACACACGCACCACCCTCTGCGTGAAAAAGTTGCCCCTCAGGTCCCTTTTAAATCTTTCCCCTCTCACCTTAAACCTATGCCCCTCTAGTTTTAGACTCCCCTACCCTGGGGAAAAGACCTTGGCTATTCACCCTATCCATGCCCCTCATGATTTTATAAACCTCTCCCTCAGCCTCTGACACTCCAGGGAAAATAACCCCAGCCTATTCAACCTCTCCCTATAGCTCAGACCCCTCGGCAACATCCTTGTAAATCTTTTCTGAACCCTTTCTAGTTTCACAAAATCCTTCCCTATAGCAGGGAGACCAGGATTGCCCTGACCAAGAAAGGCAAGCACACCAAACGCCTTTGTCACTTGGGGGCACCGTCCCTCATGCCCCTCGACGGGCACACAGCAGAACCGCGCGATACATACCTGCCACTTTGGGATCGTTGGGGTTCCTGCGGAAAGTGTTCTTCTGGGAGTTGGCGCTGCGAAATATAAAATACCCAAGGGCTGAAACATAAAATAAAACGAAAAGCATTACTACAGTCCCCCAAGCGAGACCAGAGCAGTGGAATATTCACTCCAAGGGCACACTTTATTGCTGGGGACATTTCCAGCGGCTCACCCAGTCACTCCAGATAATCATTGCTCCGAGCTTATTCGACCAGAGATCCTTACAACAGTCCATTTCTCTTCCTAAACCCTCCCCTGGCCCAGTCTCTTAAGGAGTGTTTTAACAGTAGAAAGAGCTCCCTTTCTCACTGTGCTACCTGTTGCTTCTTACTCTGGCTCAGTTTCTGAGCTCTTGTAAGCTGAAAAAAGAAGGCATTTGGTCAATGCATTTCAGCTTGCACTCATCAGGACAGCTTGCAAGAATACCAATTTAAATGGGGGGAAAACCACCGTTTATTTCATATTCCCAATTTGTACTTTCATGTGCCACTTCCTCAAATAATTAGTAACAGAAAACTTACACGTTGCTGAAGAAAGATATCTTAAATCAAAGCTGTTCAACTCATCAGGACAGTTTGCAAGAATACCAATGGGGCGAGGCGGGGTTGGAAGTCCAACCTTTACTTGATATCCCCAATTTAGACACATATACAAATATTTATTAAGTTCTGTGCTACCAAATAACAAATTAAGGGGTGCGATACAGAAGGAAATTACTAGTATTCACAATTCAGCCACCCCAAACCACATTTTCCATACATCAGGAGCATTAATGGGATGAGGGTAGTTGCTGGCCAGGCGGCATTTATTGCCCCATCCCTAATTGCCCAGATGGCAGTTAAGAGTCAACCACATTACTGTGGGTCTGGAGTCACATGTAGGCCAGACCAGGTAAGGATGGCACTTTCCTTCCCTAAAGGACATTAGCGAAGCAGATGGGTTTTCCCGACAATTGACAACGGATTCACCGTCACCATTAGATTCTTAATTCCAGATTTCTATTGAATTCAAATTCCACCATCTGCCAAGGCAGGATTTGAACCTGGGTCCCCAGAATGCTATTTGCATTTCTGGATTAATGGGCTAGCGATAATACCACTAGGGAATCGTCTCCCCCTAATGATCCGACCTTGAGGGCTATACTGTGCTAGAGATACAGCTCCATATTAAACTAAAGCTGGAAATTTTCAGCAGGGTTCACACTAAAATAAAAACCATCCTGGCTCTGCACGATCATTATGCCTGCTCCAAAGGCATTTGGCACGCTTGCCTTCGGTACGTGTGACAATAATAGATCAAATAAAGTCAACTCAAATGTTACAACAGCTCGCAATGAAGACGATGCAGGGAAAATGCAGCCATGGAAACTTTGGTCAGATCATATTCCGACCAACATTCGTTTGAAGCTGCCCCGGTATTAGAAAGAGTTTAGCACGCCCACCTTTATTACTCCAGACACAAATCCAAAGTTGCTGGAAAAAGCTCAGCAGGTCTGGCAGCATCCGCGAAGGAAAAAAAAGTTAACGTTTCGGGTCCGGTGACCCTTCCTCAGAACTCTCAGACCTTTTATTACTCAGACCTTTGAGTCTCAAGGAGCTGGGACGTCATGTTGTGGTTATACAGGATGTTGGTGAGACGGGATTCAAACCCGGGTCCCTGGATTAACAGTCCAGTGATAATACCACTAGGTCATTGCTTCCCCCTATAGCTTGCAGAGCTATCGGACTTGATGGAGCAGCACAGCCAGTATACCTGCTATTGCCTTCAGCGGTGAAGGGAAGCTGATTATTGAGAGGACAGGGAAGAGGGGTAGGACCCGCACTCACCGTTCAGGAGGACGATGCCCGCCGCTGCGGCCGGTGTCAGCTCCTGGGGGTGACCCACCAAGAAGTGGGCCTGCAGACTGTACGTGAACGGGACCCACGTCAAATCCCCAAACGCCAACATGAAGCCGAAGCCATCGTTCATGATGTCCATCGTGGTCAGGACCGCCTCCTGCAGGGAACCACCAGAATAAACCAAGGTGGGGGGGGGGGAAAAGAAACCTTTAAATCAAACAGGTAGGCCCCAGCTCCTCAAAAGGGGACACATCAGTCACAAACTTCGACCCCGCGGTGTTTCATTGGGCCTCAGTGCGGCCTTCTGAAAGGCTTTGCTTCTCCTCCCAAGATTTTGGGCGAAGTGTTCGCTTCGGTCTTTGGGGACAACATTAACTTTAGGAACCTCTCAGTCCCTTCGATGGAATCGTGGCCTTATCTGTACATCGTCTCCCTCCCATTGCTCTCAACGTCCTCGCCCGACAGGAATCCGTTTATCCAGGCCTCGGGAATCCTCAATCGACACCCCAGGCCCTAAAAGGGGACGTTGTCCCAGGTTTCCAAGACGACAAACCTCCCTCCTTGGATGAGCAGGTGGTCACTGGCCCTAACATCCCCTTCCCCTGGCTCGATAGCCAAGTTTAATCTTAACAATGCTCCTGGTACGCTGAACTAAGTTAAAAGGCGCGAAGCCTAGATGTCCAGCACGGAGACAGACCCTTCGGCCCAACCCGTCCATGCTGACCATTTGCCAGCATTTGGCCCATATCCCTCTAAACCCTTCCTGTCCATGTACCCATCCAGATGCCTTTTAAATGTTGTAATTGTACCAGCCTCCACCACTTCCTCTGGCAGCTCGTTCCATACACACACCACCCTCTGCGTGAAAAAGTTGTCCCTTAGGTGCCTTTTTATATCTCTCCCCTCTCACCTTAAACCTATACCCTCTAGTTTTGTACTCCCCCCTACCCTGGGTATAAGCCCTTGACTATTCACCCCATCCATGCCCCCTCATGATTTTATAAGATCTTGCGGCAAAGATCATCCTCAATCCTGCTACAAAGCCAACTTTCCTTTCCACTCCACTCCACGTTCCGTTACTTAGCAAGTCGGGATCGAGGAGAGACAAAAACCCAGGGCTTTAAGAGGGGCCTCTTCCAACAGCGATCCAAGAGACAAATGTGGAACAGAACAGGCCACTCTGCCCGTCATGCGCGCGCACTAACCCTTCCACCCCAAAGTAAACGATCAACAATCAGCTCTAGGCCCGTGGCCCTGTAGTTTAATCCCACTTCCAGGCGTATCCCGTCGCATCTTTCGAAACGCGACGAGGGAAGGGTCCTGACTCTACCAAGTTCCCCGACTCCAGCCCACTCACGAGTAAATAACGCGGCCGGCCACCCCCACCCCCACCACCGTGATCCTGCTGACCTCGTGCCAGAGCGCGTCGAGGACATACAGGAGCTGGAAGGAATTGACGAGAATCATGGCCAGTGACGGGCTCCCTCGCAGCTCCCATTCCTTCGTCAGCATCGCCAGGTTGATGACCAGCTGGAAAGGAGAGCCAAGGGTCAGCGACGATCACGGGAAGGGGAAGCCCTCGCCTCCTCGCCCACTTCCCCCTCAAAGTGCCGCGGCCCCCCTTCCCAAAGACTCTTTCAGGTGAGAGCTATCACGTTCTGACATGGCTGATACACAGGATAACAAAGGAATTGAATTAATACCGGTCCCATCCATCACTCACCTCGTAGGACCCTCCTGGCACTACCGGGGTAAATAGTTTCCACAGACTGAAGGGGGCGGGGGTTCCGGAAATGTGTGAACAGGACAAACAGAACATGCCCTACTGTTGAAAATCAGCCACGGTTAAAAACAAAAATGACCCAACCCACATGCACACACCGTTCTGTCTATTGCAAAACAGACCGTTAAACACACCAGCTGGTGATGAGAGACAGGCCCTCAGCGAGGACATAACGCCTCCCGGAAGGAGAAATGCTCCTTCATTGAGAGAGAGCCGGGTTACATCTCGCACGGGGTAACCACAACTGCTTTTTTGTCTACTTTAATCCCTGGTTCAGTCAAGGGAGTTACTGGAAAATGGAGGCTTGCCTTCAAACGCATCAGCAAATTCAGGCAGGCGATGCCAACAAATAAAAAACTTTACCAGGACGCTGCCTGGATTAGAGGCAACGAGCTATAAGGGAGAGGCTGGAAGAGCCGGAGATAGATAGGTTCTTGATGATCAAGGGTTACGGGGAGAAAGCGGGAGAACGAGGTTGAGGAACTTATCAGCCATGGTTGAATGGCGGAGCAGACTCGATGGGCCGAATGGCCTAATTTCTGCTCCTATGGGTTGTTTTCTCTGGAGCGGCGGAGGCCGAGGGGAGACCTGATATAATTCTATAAAATTACGAGATGCGTAGATAGGGTCGACGGTCAGAATCTTTTTCCCAGAGTTGAAATGTCTGACACTGGGGGGGGCATGTATTAAAGGTGAGAGGGGGAAGTTCCAAAGAAGATGTGGAGATTTGAGGGGCAAGTTTTTTTTTTATATAATACAGAGAGTGGTAGGAGTCTGGAACACACTGCCAGGGGGTGGTGTTGAGGCAGATATGATAGGGGCATTTAAGGGGCTTTTAGATAAGCAAGGAATGGAGGGATATGGACCAAGGGCAGGCAGAAGAGATTAGTCTAATTTGGGGTCGTGTTCGGCACAACATGGTGGGCTGAAGGGCCCGTTCTTGTGCTGTACTGTTCTAAACTCTAGCAACATACTTGAATTCATCTAACGTGTACGCTGGGGGGAGCCTCTGGCTGCAGAGGCTAGGCCTTTCTAATAACTGTGGCTATAAAGTCAAATTTTGTGATTCTACACAAAAGATTAATTCAAATCGCACAGCAGAAGCCTAATTGGAGACAGAGTGGGCGGGGAGGGTTGATAATTCAGGGTGTGAACAGCTTGTGGAACTGCCCGAAACATAGCCCATGAACTTTTAAACAGCTACTGGCAAACACAGTAATATCCTGCCCGATATTCAATACAATGCAGCTCAGGAACAGGCCCTTCGGCCCATCAAGCCTGCACTGACTTCCTAGTCCTTACTTAGGCTCCTTACGTAATCCCCTCCCTGTTCGCCCCTCATTCACGCGCCTATGAAAATACACCTTAAACGATGCTATCGCGCCTGTTTTCATCGCCTCCTCTGGCACTGCGTTCCAAGCACCCACCACCCTCTGGGTGAAAAACTTTCCCTGCACTTCTCCCCTAAACGTCCGCCCCCCCCTCACCTTGAACCTGTGCCCTCTTGCAGTTGAGCTTTCCACCCGGGGTGTTGGGGGGGGGGGGGCCTCTGATTATTGCCCTTATCTACATCTCTTATAATTCTGTAGACCTCTATCGTGATGTCTGTCTTTCCAGAGAAAAACAGATCCAATTTTACCCAAACTCTTCTCGTCACTAAAAAAAAACCCCTCCAGAGTGGGCAACATCCTGGTAAACCTTCCCCATGCCCCTGCCAAGGCATCCATATCCACTGGCAGCACAGCAAACAGAGCTGCAAGGTGATACTCCAAATGTGGGACGTAAGGGACTAGGACGGCGAGATCTACCATCCCTCTTATTTTAACATAACGCAACTAAAATTCAAAATGGCATCAGGACGAGCACACCATGACCACCACCATTCCCCCCACCCCCACCCCAGATCACCAGCCCAATATCAATCACTAGACCAGGGGCAACACGGTGGCTCAGTGGTTAGCCCTGCTGCCTCACGGTGCCAGGGACCCAGGTTCGATCCCACCCTTGGGCAACTATCTGTGTGGAGTTTGCACATTCTCCCCGTGTCTGCGTGGGTTTTCTCCAGGGACTCTGGTTTCCTCCCACAGTCCAGAGGTGTGCAGGTTAGGGTGGATTGGTCGTGCTAAACTACCCCATAGTGCCCAGGGATGTGCAGGTTAGGGTGGATTGGCCGTGCTAAATTGTCCCATAGTGCCCAGGGATGTGCAGGTTAGGGTGGGTTACAGGGGGATGGGTCTGGGTAGGATGCTCTGAGAGTCGGTGTGGACTTTTTGGTCCGAAGGGCCTGTTTCCACGCTGTAGGGATTCTATGATATGAGTGCGGCTCCCAATGTAACAGGAACGGTTTGGGGGCAGAGTGTTAGCGAATGACTGCTCAGTTGAGGGTGTTGCTCTGGTTGGAGGATTTCTGGGGAGGGGGGGGTAACCAGACCAGCGTGCCGGCTTACCCAGCCAATCAACCCGGGCCGCAGTTCGCAGAAATATTTCAGGTCGAAGCTCCCAATACGAGGGTTCAGCTCGTGGCCAATGAAGAAGTCGTAGATTGGGTTGCCTGAGAGGAGAAAAGGTCAGGACGTCAGCGCCTTTTGCCCACCACTCCACCCCCCACTCCACCAAACTACCCCCCACCCCACACCGTCCAAACGCCACCCCCCCACTCCACACCGTCCACACGCCACCACCCTCCCACTCCACCAGACTTCCCCCCCTCCCCACCCCACACCGTCC